GTATCTGGTTTAAGTCAAAAGTAATTGGATAGAATTGTAGGGCTTGTCAATACGTTCGTGTGCATATAAAGATCACTAAAATCGGGTTTAGAACAAAGAATTTATGATTGTTTGAAGCTGAAAACTGAAAATTTGTGGAATTACACTGAAGGCGCAAATCGCCTCTTTAATGAGCGTAGGGCGCCTCCGGCCTAGTGGGTTGCGCGTTTTTTAGGGTTTTTGGAGTATTTAAAGTCCATTAACCATATTGTTCGTCATTTTCAACATCCACCTCCTCTAGAACACCTCTAATGAAACTCTAGCCTCCATTAAAGTGTTTGGAGCTCATCCTCTCTCCTAAATTCATTTTGGTTCTCCTTTTTGCTCCTATGGTGTTCTAAGGTGATGATGCATGAAAGCTTGGGCAAGGAAGCATGGATATTTAATATTTCAACTTTCTTAACACCTTTGGACCTTGGTAAACTCTAATATTTCAAGCTTTATTTTGTTTCCTCTATAGATCTAAGAGTTTTTGGGTTTTTGGTCCATTTTAGTAAGTTTTGGTCCCTTTGTGGTTTATTCCATTGAGTTGGAAGAACTTTTGAGCTTTTGACTGATGTTTGGGATGTTATATGGTCATTTGGTGGAGTAAAGAGTGCATGCAAGAGTTCTCTTTACTCCATGCATAAAGAAAGATGGATTGTTGGTCATTTATCAACTTAGGGTATTAGATCTTAGAAGTTTGTGGCTTTATAATGGATGAAGTTGGAAACTTTATCCATTTAGACATCATGTTGATTCACATATGAAAGTAGAAAGCCTAGACGTATTAGATTAAGTCGATAAAGACGCACTCTTGGAATTTCTGAGACTTAGATCTTGCTTTATTAGAGTGTCTTAATGGGTAAAGTTGGAAACTTTATCCATTAAGACATTTTTGAGGACCAGATCTGGAAGTTTGGGGTTTTGACTTAATGGATTAAGTCTTATCATTTTGTGAAGAAGGCTTGAACGCAACGCACCCTTCCCTGACGCGAGGAGCTTTATAGGGTGTTATGTATCAGGTCTGTTTTAGCCGAGATACCCAATTATTTTGTCCTATACTGGGCACGAGATGCCCTTATATAGCGTGGCGCGCCCAGTTGACCAAGGGTTGACTTTGTTACTAGTTCGACTTTTGGTCACATTTTGGTAGAATTGAGTATTTGACTAAGGACTAGTCTCGGTTTGGCATTATGTATCTTGGGTTAGCTGTTTTGTTGTTGAGGATGCTGTAGAGCTTCTGATGTTTAGCTCAGGTGAGTCTTCTCACTATACGATGTAGGATGCTAGATGCTTGTTGTCTTTTTGACTCATGCATGATTGCTTTAGTGCATGTTGGGTGGGGCCCATTTATATGTTATGATGGGAGGGACTCGTTTATATATTATTTTGGGCGGGGATCGTGGCGAGGCCCGTTTATATGCTTGTTGGGTCGGGCTCGGTTGATATGTGGTATATCGGGGAACTCACTAAGCTTTGTGCTCACGGTTTTAAGTTTAAATGTCGTAGGTCATTTTGGCAATACGAGAAGAGCACGACATGATTGCATCGCATCTGCTTTTATGATTTTGACATGTTCTGCATTTATGAATTCATTTCTATGATTTATGTTATCAAATAACTGAATGATTACCTTTTACGATTTAATGCTATGTTTTCTTCCGTTTTAGAAATGAAAATTTTGATTTGAAATTTCGGACGTTACATAATGTGTACAATTATTTTTGGTTCTTGAACATGTGAATGAAAAAATGTTGATAATCTACAGAAACACACACATAGGATATCTTCATCATTAACATCTAACAACCCATTACCCACTTCATCACACACAACCATCATCCCCATGTCACACCATCTCCATCATACGCTATCAACGAACACCCACCTGTCATCGACCTTTATCATCATCACCGTACGAAACATAAACATATTTTATTGATTATTTCCTGCATTTAACCAATCTTTTTATATACATACACATTCACATAAAAAAACACCAGGCATGTCATAAGGATACACACACCACATATACACAAACATGCATATACACCACACACAGGACACATACAACAGATTATATAATTACTTTTTTTTTTATTAATGTGAATTTTTTCTTATTAGTTTAGTTTCAGCTAAGGGTGTAAGTGAGTTGATCTACTCATGAGCTACTCGGGATCGACTCGTTAAAAGCTCGACTCGAGAGCGAAATAAACTAGCCCGAGCCAAGCTCGAGCCTAAATATGAGGCTCGTTTATTAAACGAGCTCGAGTCGAGCTATAATCCGTGAGCTCGCGAGCCTAAACGAGTCTATATATAATATACATTATTATTATTTCTATATATTAAAATAATTTTTTTTTAGGAATTAGAGATGTTGGGTATTAGTAAATGAGCTGCTTAACGAGCTTAAACCGAGCTTAAGCTTATTTAGGCTCACCAGACAAAAACATAAGCCAATCTCGAGCCCGAGACGAGCCTGTATAATTCTTCACGAGCTCGAGCCGAGCTCGGTACAATAAATCTCGAATCGAGCCGAGCTCGAGCTCGAGCCCCTCATAACTTAAACGAGCCCGAGACGAGCCTGACCAAGCTCGGGCTCGACTCGACTCGTTTACACCCCTAGTTTCAGCAACAAAAAAATGAGCAAGTTATTAATAAAATTTTCTAACAACTTTTCTTGCCTAATCTCTAATTGGTTTCAACATCTACAAAATTTTCCATCATCAGTTCCACCAATCTTCTCCATCACGGAAATCCCTGTTTATCGATTTTTTTGGTTAAAATCAGAAAACACAAAAAAAAAAAGAACAAACACAGAGGCAAAGAAAAATATAGAAAAAGATAAAAACGCAGCACGGAGGAAAGAAGAAAAAATGCATCCTTGTTCTTAGTTATATTAAGAAATTAGCAAAACATTTTCATCAAATGTGGAGGAGAAGTCACCGATTTCAACAACAAACGACCGATATGAACAAAAAATCATTGATTTCATCATATAAGGAGGAGAACATTGCAACTTCATCATCATATTCAGCAAATACCAAGATGAATAAGGAAAATCTGAAAAACGAAATACATACCTGAAGAGGTGTTGAGCTTTGATGTGTGACGGTGGCGTCGGAGATGTGAGAGGGTGGCAATGGCCACAAAGGGTGTGCGACATCGGCTCTGCGGTGCAAGGGCATCGCCCATACTCTCTAACGTCAAAGATGCAGAGGCATAATAGATGAGGGTTGGTGTTCGATGGACGAAAGAGGGAGAGACGAGGGTAAACTTAGGGCAAAAAGGGAAATGAGTTCTTTTTTTTTCCTTTCAGATGCGGCTACATGTCTTACCGAATAAGATGTATTTTTAGATTCAGATAAGAAAATAAGATATAATCAAATGCTCTTAATAAAAAAGATTCAAACTGTCTCTTATTAATAGGCATTAAAATACTACCAAAGAGAGTCTAAGGTGCTGTTTGTTTTTTACAAAAAACCTCTTCAAACCACTTTCTGCTGCGCGGCGCAGCACACGCGCAACACTTTCCCTCTCGCAGCAGTTTGTTTTTTGGAAGACTTCAGACTGCAAAACCTCTGCGCGTGTGCTGCGTGACGCAGCACTTGACTTGCCTCTTCAAACCTCTTCAGCTTTCAATTTTTTAAAGTGTTTTTTTTAGAATTTTGGTATAACTTATTTTTAAATTTTTTTTTTAACTTTTATTTACGGATTTGATACAATTTTCTATTATAGTTTCCACATTTTTTTAACTTGATTTTTTTATAAAAAAAAAAAACTTTGATTTTTTTTAATTTTTTTACCGTTTCTGTTAATAATATTTTCAGTTTCAGTTTCATCTTTTTTAACGTTTGTAATTTTTTACGAACTTTGTAGATATCGTTTGCAATACTTTCTTAATTTTTTTTATTATTTTCCTTTTTATGTTTTTAAAAATTAGTTTTTTTCTAGAATAAAGTTGTTAGATTCTTTTATATTTTTGTAAGTTTTTTTCAAAAAGTTTTATATTTTTATTTTTTTACATGTTCTTTTTAGTACCATTTCAATGTGTTAAGACTAGAATTATTAAAATTTCGGTATTGAGAACTATTTTCAGTTTATAAAATTAATTTATTTAAATTTCAGTTTACTGCAGCAGTCTGCAGATGTTAAAAAACAAACATGTTTCTTATTATTGGCTGCAACCGTTTGTTCCACCTCTTCTACTACAGATGATTGCAGAGGTGGTCCGCAGACTTCATGAATTTTCGCTTCGAAAAAACAAACAGCACCTAAGAAATTAACCGAAAACCATCACAGTTGCTTGTTCCTGAAAGAAAAATAATTATAGATACCGCAAATTATATACTAAAACATTCATGATTAATAGATACCGAAATTTGTCACCCATACTATTTAATAAATCCTCATATACCTTAGAATATACCATAGAATATAGACAAATATAACCATGTAATAGAAATGTAAATTACTTGGTATGGGCCGAGAAATTTGGGAACCGGAAAGAAAGTGTCGATAGAAAAACTTTAATAATAAAATAATAATAATAATAATAATAATAATAATAAATAAATAAAAAGACAGCACTATTCACAATATGAATTTATTATTAGTTTTTTCGGTCCAAAATTTTTGAAAATTAAAAAAGTTATAAACTGAACTTTTTTCAAATCAACGTTTTGTTTATGTTGTTTGTTAATTAACAAGTTTTTCATATACACATTTTTAATTACTATATAATCCAATATATTTTCATACAATTATATATTAACAATTTATATAGAATCTCTAAAAAAAACAAGAAAAAACAATTCTAATATAAAGATATTAATAAACAACTCTATTTGAAGTTTTTTTAATAACAAAGCTCCTCTACAAATTTTACTACGATGCTTAAATGAAGAGATTTGAAAGGGTAGCCCCAAAATCACGTATATAAAGGCTGCCATGATTGAACAATCCTCACCAATCCATTAACCCCTCGTTCTCTCGTCTCTTCTCCCACTAAACCCTTCTTTAAATTCCTTAATTTCCGAGAGATTTTTGAAGAGACGATGGTGGTGGCCGAGAGTGGCGGCGATACGGTGGTGGTGATAAGAGAGTACAACCCAAAAACAGACATTGAGAGAGTAGAACAGGTGGAGAGAAGCTGTGAAGTAGGCCCAAGTGGTGAATTCTCACTCCACGCCGACCTCTTAGGTGACCCTGTTTGCAGAGTTCGCAACTCTCCTGCGTATCTCATGCTGGTATACATAATTGAAATCTTAATCAAATTTTAATTTCTTGTTTTGTATTTATGTTCACTGAATGTTGATGGAATTTTCAGGTGGCGGAGATGGTGGTGAACGGCGGTGGAGATGAGACGAGAGAGGTGGTGGGGATGATTAGGGGCTGCATCAAAACCGTTACATGCGGTAGAAAAGTATGCCGGAAAGCTAATTATCCGCCGGAACTTCGCCCTGTCTTTACTAAACTTGCCTATATCATAGGCCTACGAGTCTCTCCATCTCACCGGTATACACATCGACATATCTTTTATAAAAGACAAAACAACACATATTTAAAAAAATAAATAAATAAATAAAACGAACAAACGATCGAATTTTATGAAATGACTACTGAAAAAAGAACTTTTTTAGTTTCAAAATTTTTATTCTTACTACATTTTTCAATTGAATATTATTCAAAAAAATAATCTTTAAATTATGTGTTATATATTTGAGAAATTTGATTTATATTAGAAGATATTAAACTTTTGAAGCAACACTCAATGATGAGAAAATTGCCAAAATTAGAAAAATGGTAGTCCCATCTGAAAACAAACTACCAAGTAGCCCTCATCCGTTATTTTTTGTGTACTTCTGAAAATAGAAACACATTTTATACTCATTCTCAAAAAATATAAATACTACCGTTTGAAGAAATATAAATGAAGAATAATATATTCAAAAATAGTAAACCTCTATATCATTATCGTCAAAATATAAGTTAGCCATTTTCTTATTATTAAGCTCAATTTTTAATTATTTTAAATGAAATTACAGGAGAATGAAAATTGGATTAAAGCTCGTTTCTCAAATGGAATATTGGTTTAGAGACAACGGCGCGGAATATTCATACATCGCAACCGACGCCACCAACAAACCTTCCGTTAACCTCTTCACCGGAAAATGCGGATACTCAAAATTCCGCAACCCTTCAGTCCTCGTCCACCCAGTATTTGCCCATCGCCTCCGAGTCAACCACCGAGTCAAAATCATTAAACTCTCACCATCCGACGCTGAAACCATTTACCGCCACCGATTCTCCACCACCGAGTTCTTCCCACGAGACATCGACTCAGTACTCAGAAACAACCTAAACCTTGGCACGTTCCTCGCTGTTCCAAAAGATTGTCCGCATTCAATATCATGGGCCGGGTCGGATCGGTTTCTTTCTAACCCGCCTGAGTCATGGGCTATCATGAGCGTCTGGAATTGTAACGACGTGTTTAAGTTGGAAGTTAAAGGGGCGTCGAGGTTAAGGAAAGGGCTCGTTAATACAACCCGGGTCTTGGATCGGATCTTTCCTTTTTTGAATTTACCTTCTTTACCCAAGATTTTTAACCCGTTTGGGCTCCATTTGCTATACGGGTTTGGTGGGGAAGGTCCGTTTTATCTAGATTTTGCAAAGGCCTTGTTTGGTTTTGCTCATAATTTAGCGAAGGAGCACAAGTGTGGGGTTGTGGCGACTGAGGTATCGAGTGAGGATCCACTCAAGTTGGTGATTCCACATTGGAAAGTGTTATCTTTTGTGGATTTATGGTGTATCAAGAGGCTTGATGAAGATTATAGTGATGGTTTTGTGGGGGATTGGAGAAAATCACAACCTGGTTTATCTTTTTTTCTCGATCCTAGAGAGTTTTGAAAGGTCTTGATGTTGAAAGTTGTTGATGTATATTTGAGAAATCATTAGAGAATACAAAAATGTTTAAAGTGTGGACTTTGAAGTAAAGTCTAATAATCGCTTGTTTAGTTTTTAGTATTTGTAACGAGTGGATGGGGGAAACTGGAAAGGAAGGAAATGTGTTTTGGAAGGGGGTATATATTCTAAAGTGGGACCTATATGGTATTTTTCTCCTTTTATGTAAATAAATGGTACGCTTTTGTAGATCCTTTTTCATCCAAACATTGCCAAGATTTTTTCTATTTCAAGATTTTCACAAGATTCTTTGTAGCCCAGCGGTATCAGGTGTTGTCCTTCCTCTTTAAGGTCGAGGGTTCAAGTCCCGTCGTGGATATAGGTGGAATAGGTGTTGTTAGATTAGATTTGCCAATATTGTTAAAAATTGACTAATTGAGAGAGTGGAAAAGACGAATTGGTATTTTATGAATTTTTGTATGATTCATTTTCCTTAATCAATAATTTAATTCTATGTCTATGTATCACAGATTTTGGTTTTTTCAAATTCGAGGGTTAGACAAACGTCTCGCATAATGTGGGATACTCGTCTCCCTCTTGAAATTGAAGGTTTTAGTTTTAGAATTAAGAGTGTGTTAAGAAATATATTAGATTTATCATTAAAAAAATAATCATAAAAAAATAAAAACCAATTAAAATAACTTTATTCTTTTGGAAATGACTCAATTCATTTTTAATGTAGCTTGTAAATTAACAAGCTCTTCGTATGATTTTTTTTTTCAAACATATGTTTTCCAATTTTAATCAACTTATACGAAGACAATAAAATAATACAAATACAAATTTGTGGATCTTATAAATAAATTGATATAAAACTCTACTATTTTTGCCATTTTTTTAGTATTTTCAACTAATGAGTAGATGTGTGTAATAATAAATATAACAAATAAATTATTCTGTTGTGGATGCTCTGAAATTGATAGTGGTGATAAAAGATTTATTTTTTTCAAGTTACAAAAATTTACTGGAGAATTAAATATATATGGTAATAATATTTCGACATTCAGAAGGTTAGTCAATTCAGAAGTCTTTAGAAGCGTCTCAAGTCTTCGGAAGATGCTTCAACTTTAGAATATTTTTCCTCGGTCAAATCCAACTCACTTAACGTTGCATCTAAAGCCTTTAGAAGCTTTTGAAGTCTTTGAGCCGACTTTATATATTTTGCCTTGGTTAAAATGCATTTTAAAAGACTTGGAGAAGTTTAAAGTGTGTCAATGTCCTTCATGCGGATTTTGACTACAAAATTCAACTCCTTATATTGTTGCACCCTTTCTCTCCATTTATTTCCACTTGTAGTCCAAAATTCCGTTAAGATTTTGGGATTTTGCCTCTCGACCCCGCTCATTGGGATCACCGAAGGGGCTCTCCCTCATGACTCAACAAGGGGAGTTTACCCCTTTACAATTGTCATTCATCCTGTTAAGGATTAGACTACCCGTATAAAAGTGGGCAATTTTGTACCATCCAAGTATTTTCATTTATAACAAGTTTTCAGAACATTTAGAAAAACGATTACCCGAAATAAGAAGAATTGCTAAATGCAATCAACCTACTTAGGGACTTAGTCTCATTTATCTTTGATTGGGGAGGGTTTTATGAGTGAGCTACCATGCACTCTTTTATGTTCCAAGAAAGTGGGGTTTAATAGGAATAGTCGGTTTATATGTTTCTAGGGATGTCAAAAGGTTTTGTGGAACTTCAAACCTGTGGGGTCCCGATCTCAAATTGGGGATATTTGTTAGAAAAAATTGGGGGCGGGGCGGAGGCAAGGTTAATCCTCGTTTTAATTTCAGGAGGGACAGAGGTAAGCAGACAGCAGTACCGTCCCAAAAGTCAACAAAAAATAATGTTTTTAAGTTGTTAGTATAATGTTTTTGAAATGTAATAACATTTTTGTTTTTAACATGTAAAATTATGTTATAAATAACTACTTTTAACCTAAAAAAATAACTTCTTTTAATCCAAAAAACAACTTCTTTTAGCCCGATAAAAAATATCTCAAAATCAATCGGCTGCGGGGAAACGGGGGCGGGGGAATAGAAAATTTTCAGCGGTTGGGGCGGGGGATACAATCCCCGTCACGTTTGTCTCCATTGACATCCCTATATATTTCAATATATTTTAAAATAACATTCTTCTACTTCTTAAAGTTATATTTGCAATTAGTTTTCAAATAATGGGTTATTGTTATTCTTTTCATTCGTTTACGACTAATTTGTCTTACCAACTATTATATTCGTGGTGCCATTCAAATATATTTTAACCGTTAGAATAAAACAAAGTAGATGATGCTCATACACATACCATAAGATTATATATCTAAAAATTGAATATCCATTTCAAAAAGATATGTTTAAGTTAGGAAACCTTTTTGGGTTTTTGTATATTTGTCTTATTGAACCCCCGCCTCACAAATTTCTTTTTATTAAAATATGAGTAGAATATATATCGATAGTAATGGGAAAATTTAAATGAGAACAATGTGGTGGCCCGTTTGTGTTTTATTCACTAAAGATACATAAGAATAAAAATGGATATGGTATTGTTTTAGTTACATCGTGGTTTGTTAAAAAGAAAAAAAAAACAACTGGTCATGTTTATAATTTATTCTTAGACTTGAATTATTATTATTTTTGTCTTATTACCATTTTCTTATACAGGCACAAATTTTACATTATTAATCATCCTAATTATAATGTTTTTTGTTGTGTGTATGTATATGTATGCATAAGTTTTCTTTATCATTTCGATTTAATTAGGGCCTTTAATTATATCAAAACTTAAGAAAATGATTAATGTTTTGTTTGTTATAGCTTTATTTTGTGTAAATGATTGGACTTGACGATGGATTTGATAGTGACTATGGTGTTCTTAATCTAAAAATATAATTATGTAAGTTAAAAACATTTATGAGCTTTGATTGGACATATAATTTTATAGAATATAGTAGTATAATAGTATAATACAAAAAATAAGCCAAAAATTGAATTGTCCCACATAGGAGTGTGTATTCGAGTTTGCAATCGACTTAAAAAAAACACTCTTTTTTTATTATCTATTGGTAGATAATATAACAAATTATATTTTTGTATGTTGACTAAAAAGAAAAACATTTGGCACCATAAAAAACTCAGTCGATATTTCCATATATTATAATATTTATTGATCATCATAAACATCTATGTGACTCTAGGAACAAGAAAATATTCCTTTGTATACGAATTAATGTTATTTCCAATTCCTTTGGAGCGGCGATCTCGTAGTATTCTCATCTAAAAAGTAAAACATAAATATAAAATAAAAATAAAAAAAATTGCATGATGATATCTGCTACGTAAACATTTTGTTGTTAATATCAGCCATATCAATTTTTATACATGAAATTTCACAAGTTTGACATTTAATAGTCATATATGATTATTTAATTTCATAACATAGAGTTTTAAAAGTTTATAATATGCATAAAATCTATATGGAGCGAAAGTTGAGATGAATGAGTGCCAAAAATAGGTATAATTTATTGTATTAGGTTAAATCACATACATGTGAGAGGAAACCGTAGATGACATATGGTCATCTGCGATTTCGTCATCGAAAAAAAAACAAGCGAGGAAACCGCAACCGAGATGAGAGGAAACAGCAAATGACCAAACTAAGCTGCGATTTTGTCATCTCATAAATGAAATATATATATATATATATATATATATATATATATATATATATATTATATATATTATATATATATATATATAGGTAGAGGTTCATTTGAGACCACCTATATTTTATGAGACAAGGGGACCAATTTTCAGCCATAATTGATCTAATGGTTCAACAATAAAACGTGATTAGTGCTGATTAATGTTGATTAAGGCGCTTAACTAAATTATGAGGGGTAGTTTAGTCAATGTTCTACTTTTTATCCCTTAGTTTTGATGACAATCTAACGTCTTGTTTCATGGAAGCCCTAGATTGTGAATTACTTTTTCATATTATCCCAAGATTGAGATCTATTATGTTTCAATGTTATAAAAGATATATCGATTTCAACAATCAATCACTAATTCGTAACAATTTGTTTAAGATTTGTGCAATTCGATTTAATGGAATTTTGGTTTCATCTGGCGATGAGTTGGGAAGCAATCAAGATGCATGAAGAATTCAGCAAATCGATCATAAATTTTGATGTTTTAAATGAAGATTTTAGCAATGGCGCATCAAGAATTCAGAATCAATGATCTCTTGAGATTCAATTCAATAACTTCATGTTCCTTTAGTTAGTATTTGAGGAAGATTTCAGCAATTCACCGTTACTTCAAATTATGTTCAACAATTTTAATCATGATCAACAATTGATTGTCATTTGAGATCGTTTTCAGTAGCATCAGGTTTGAATTTTTTTTTCTCTGGACATCGATTACAAGCTTTGATTTATTTCATCATCTTTTTGTTGCAATGTTCATTCAACGAAATTTGAATACATTATTCTCCACAATTGAACACATAATACTTGAATAGAATCAAGTGGAAATAACAAAACTTTGAGTCATTTTGCGCTCTTTCTGTCAAATTAACTAGTTATGTACAAATTGATTATTGTTCTTGAGCAATTTTTCTTTAACTATACATGCATTCCACCTGTTTGATAAAAGTCTTGAATGAATAAAGAGTCTGATATATCACCCCTTCATTCCCACGAATAAAGTCCTCTTTAAGAATATGAATATACTTCAGTATGAGTTGGAATTAGTGTAACATAATTCAATGTTGATTACTCTTATTAAATTTACCTTAGTTTTATTTAAAATCTGCCTTTTTCTTCAAATACATATTGTCAGATATGTCTTTTAGCACAATTTTGTTTTAATATGCTCCTATTATCCTATAGAAAAGGGGTTATACTAAAGAAAAGATTAGATGCTCTTAAATCAATCACCAGAAGTTGTCCCCTTGATCTGATGATATTTTGAATCGTAAACTTCGAATCATACATAGAAATTCCTCATCTTCATCTGATGAAATCGCAACTTAACGTAGGATATTCAATCATTTCAAACATTAGGTTTTACTATCATATCAACGATTTTCAGCAATTCCTCATGATCAACAATCAATCATTAACTGAGATCAATTTTCAACTGTTTGAAGCTTCAA